AAAGAAGAAAATAATTTTTTATAAAAAGCTCTCAGGTACTGCCACATTTCCCAATGTCTTGGGTAATAAAGTGAGAACTGGTGGCAATATTCTATGAATAGAAAAAATTTCTTGACAGTGAAGCCAGATCTGACAAAAAAAAAAAAAGTCTGAGATGCTTTTGTGTCTGTCTGCCACAATATTCTGAGGATAATGACCAATAGATAGCCACCAAAATTATGTTTTTGAATAATTTATAACATAGGAAAAACGTTAGCTCTCTTAGTAGAAAAGACAGAGAGTACTAAAGTATGTATGCATGCACACACACACACACACACACACACACACACACACACACACACAGTCTTACCATCTAAACAATACTAGCAAAATAAAGCCTTTGAGCTGAGAGGAAATAGGGCAGATGGAAGTAGCCCAAAATACTAACATTATTTGAATGCATTTTTATATCCTTCTGGTTTTGTTGTTTTGCTCCCCACCCCTTCTCTCTCTCTCTCTCTCTCTCTCTCTCTCTCTCTCTCTCTCTCTCTCTCTCTCTTTCTGTCTCTCTCTCTGAGACAGGGTTGTCTCTGTAGCAGCCCTGGCTATCCTGTACCCAGGCTGGGCTTGAAATCACAGAGATCTGCCTTCCTTTGCCTCTCAAGTGCTAGTATTAAAGGCATGAGCCACAGTTTTTTCATTCTTAAAGTTGACTCCACCTTCATCTGATTTTACTTATGTGCATCTTCTCTATCTTCTCTTCTCTCTTAGTGATACAGATAAAGGTTTTTCATTTCGTTGATGTTTTAAGATAAACTTTTGTTTTCAAAATGTATTGCTTCTGAAATAGTGATACATGCCCGAGCTGCACTACAAATGAGTTGTAGTCCACATTCTTGTTCCTCTCCCTACCACATGTTTATGGTTCCTGCAAAACCAATATTATTTGGGTAGGACTTCAACTAGCTGTGGTTAGCCAGAGTCTATTTCTTATTTCCATTACCTGCTGCCTACCCTGAATCAGAATCTCTGCCACATCCAGGTCTGAGGGTTTTTTTTTTTTTCTTGTGCAACTGTGCCCACAAAGAATGCATTCTGGATTTTTTGATGCTTGCTATCATGGCCCTTCCACGGCATGCCATAAGCTACAGTTTGGAGCATAAAACCAGACCCTAATGGTATTCACTTTCATGACACTTCTACTCATCAGGATATATAAATGTTATCCTTTCCCTTCCAACCGGCTGTTGCCAGGTTAGAGTTATTTTGATAAATGTCTACCAAAGAGTATGCTATGCCATATTACCACCAGGTCTTTTTCCTAATGGCAGGTTACCACTAACATATCTATACTGAGCTCCAGACAGCATAGAGCATCTGATCTACAGAGGGACAAGGGATTAACTCCTTAACACTGGTGTGCTCAAGTCTTCTTAAGTAACTTGACTGAGTTGTGTTTTCATTTGAAAGTAAAAAGTAAAGTTTCTGACTTTACATCTTTTTTTCTCAAAGTTTATTTGAATGAAAGAAATAGAAACATCCAAAAAAAAAAGAAATAGAAACATCCAATTTGCTACCTTTTATTAAAATTTAATTATTACTTGGATGATCTTTTTATTTTTTCTGCTGTGTGTGTGTGTGTGTGTGTGTGTGCATGTTTGGTACATGCATGCATGTGGATGTGGATGTTTATTACTGTGTGTGTGTGTGTCTGCACATGGAAGCCAAAGGAAGATATAAGGTGTCTCCCCCATCTACATTATTCCCTTGGGACAGGGTCTTGCACTGAACCTGGAGCTAGGATGGCAGCCAGCAATCCCTAGCAATCCTTTAGTCACCAAGCCCCATTGTGCTAGGCTTGCATGACTATGACTGGCTTATGGGCTGGAAATTCAAATCCAGAGCCTTACACTTACTTAGCATATGTTCTCACCTGCTGAACAATCTTCCCAACCCCTTATTTCTATTTTTGATTCTATAGTTTTGTCTGTTCTTTAATCATCTGAATACTTTTCATGATCTTAGAAAAGGGGAGAGAAATTCATACCTGATCTCTAATCCTTGATATATCCTTTACACAAATCAGGAATTGCTGGTCTTTCTTGTTGTGACATTCTAAGCCTTGTTGTCTTACATTATTATTTGGCACAGAAGCAGTGGAAATCATGGGTATTTTGTTATGAAGATAAGACCAAAGAAAATGGCAATGTGACTGCTTTATTTGTATGTATTGTATTTGTTCAGATCATGTGTGACTAAAGTGAAGGTGTAAAATCCTAAAACTCACTAGTTTATTTTAGTAGAACAGAGGAAGTATATAAACCATAGAAACCACAGTGAACCCAAAGCATCTGTGATGAGAAGAGGCAAGAGTGTACTTTTAAAGTAGCAACTGAACAAACCCATCACAGAAGAGTTAGGAAGTTACAAAGGACACACCATCAGAATGTCTTCAGACCATTAATAAACCTTTCTTGTTCTGCCATCACCACTTCAGACATGCTATTCCCACATTTTCATTTGGTTGTGTCTTGTTATACATAAATGGCACAGAGATAGGTTTTGATATCAACTTAACTTGCAGTTTGAGTTGTTTAATCCCCACTGCTGTTCAAATGAATCTTGTAAAATCTCTTGAGAGAGCATAAACTTCAGAGTGATGAAATGATTTTAAGCATCTCATATCCAGTGTTAGTCTTCTTACAGCATTTGGGGAACACAAATGATTTTCATTTTATTGGTTTGCAGAAGAGTTGAGATGACTCCCATCCTTCTCCAGGCAGTCTGAAGCAGCACACTGTCTTCACTGGGATCCTGCTTAGCTAGCAGGTACACCACAGCTATGCAGCTGGTGATGTACCTCAAAGGTCACACAACATTCATTTTCCTCACTGAAAATCCTGAAAAACAGGAACTCATTGCTGGCAGATAGTTATAGAGTTCTCAAACTCACACAAAAACATCCTTTCTGTTTTTCTTATCCACATAAAGATTTTAAAATACAGATTTTCAAATTTCTAATTATTTACATGGCATAAATAAGGTAAAGGTGGCAAGAACAGTTTTGTGGTTCCCCAAGTTCCACTTTGGTCTTTCAGTGGACATATTTACTTCCCACTACTCTTTTGTCTTGTAGAATCTACGCAGTGGGAGGCAGGTAGAGGATCAAAAAGTGGGAGCAGGCAGTTGAGGTCTTTCTTCTATCCTATTTTACCAAATTCTAGCACTGGTTTTTAGCTCTGAATGTTAGAGCTCAGGTCGTGGTTTTATTTTGCTTTGTTTTTGATTCTCCACGCTCTAAGGAGGAAAGCAGAATTCTTTCCTCAACCCTGGAAATTTCTAAGTAGGAATATACTTGTGTATCAAATGACAAATTAACAACGGTGAAAAAAGAAATATATGTAATATTTGGAGGGAATGAGTACTTCTCAAACTTGTGGCTTTGGATTTCTACTTATATAGAATCTTCAACAATGTATAGTAAAAGTTTAAAGAAGTAGTAAAACAAAGAAAAGAGGAATTTGCATCTCTGTGGATGGAAACCCGTGGGACAGTTGAAAATGGTAGCAAAAGACTAGTCAGTAAAGTCTGTGAGTGTTGATTCTGCTAGTATAATTTCCAGGTTGATAAAGATCTAAAGTTGTCTTCAGTGGTTAGCCATTTCTCTCTAGAGTAGGTGGGTACCTTTTGCCTTTAAAAATTGTACGTTCTGCTTTAAGACAAATAGAGGTAGGGCAGAGAGCTTTCTGAATCTGCTGCTATTCACCACCCACAATGTGCCAACAAATATGGCAGAATCATGACCTGGGGTAAACATGAGCCTTCTGAAAAACACAGGGGTAGTAGCTTTCATTGTGGCCTTTTTGGGTTTTGGTTCTTCTGATCCTACTTGTCTTTCTAGTCACTACAGTCAGATCATTTTTGTCTATCTAACACTGTGGTTTTCCTTGTTTTCAAAATGCCATGACTAGAATCATTGATCTATATAGTATGATGAAGGAAGTAAAAAATGGTCCTAAACAAGGGTCTTGATTGTAGAACAAGAAAAGAAAGTTTTCTAAGAAAAACTGAAGACTTTTTTGTTTAAAAAAAAAAAACCCTATATCTTATGCACATGATTGCCAACTTCCTGAAATCTGGAGAGGACTCTTGGTCTGCACAAAGCTTCCCTCTTACAGTGGTGGCACCCATCAATACACTACTCTCAATAGGGCATTGGTGCTTTTGCTTGTCACTTGCTGAACATCCACTGTAACCAGATGATCCATGAACTATTTTGGATTCATTTACCCATCCAAAACCTCAGATCTCTTATAATTCAAGTTTGACTGTTAGGGAAATCAATGCTTAGGAGATCCTGATTGCCACGTCTGTTGATTCTGCAGAATTCCAGTGGCCAGCTCAGGTAACTGTCCATGCTTGCAGAACATTAGGAACATTCTAAGTAGGTGCTTCCAATGCAGATTTTGTTTTAGACAAAGCCTCTTTCAGAGGAAGATGACCTACAATAATAATTAGCAATCCTCTTGCTAAGAAGATCCTTAACACAAAAGATTAATAAGCAATCTCCTTTATTAAAAAGATTCATTTAAGTAAAATTTATAACCAGATTCTAATTCAAAATACTCTGAAAGCAACACACAAGTCTCAGTGAAATCTCATTGCATTCCCTCCATTATGATCAATGGCCTCATTAACATTTATTCCCTGGGAGTAAAAGGTTTTATTGCTATTGGGTCATGCTAGTTTTCAGAGAGAGGAGAACGAAGAGTGAATAAGTTATGAAAGGTGTGTGAGACAAAGAAGCCTAGAGTTGAAACACACTGAAGCAGGGGGACAGGGAGTGGCTGACTCACACTCAAAATTGCATAAGCAAGATTTCAAAATTAATCCTGTGGAGACCTCAGCCCAGTATACAATGCTCCTAGCTGGAAAAGAAGAACTGTGAATCTTTGATGTTTTTTTCTTTAAATCTTCACCATCACTTTCCCTTCTATCTCCGCCTTCTCTCTCTGCAGGAAACTTTATTTCCTACTTCTGCACACCAAGTTTCTACCTCTAGATCTGAGGTTTTCGTTGCTGAGAAGCCTGAGATACCAGTACTACCAAGAAGTCATCCCTGGTGAGTTGTTATTTTTCCATGACTTTATGAATGTTAAGCTCAGGCACCTGCAAGCTTGAGGTGCTGGGTGCCAGAGAGAAGCCTGAGAGGCTGTACAGCCTATGCATGTGGAGACAATGACCAAGATTCAGGTAGAAGAGAGGCTGTAACATACGTTAAGAAATGCTAGAATGATCCTGGTAGTAGTGAGGAAATGAGGGTGTTGCTGGATGAGACCATCCTTTTGGGATCAGGTGATGAAAAGGAGACACAGGGAGGAAAAGCACTCTGCCTGGTCATCTTCTAGGCACCCACGGGCATACTCTGTCCCTCTTAGCATGCGGAAGGTTGCACTTCTAGAACTTTCTATCATGAAATCTTTTTCCTCTAGCCCATATATGGAATAGTTCAAGTTCAGAACCAAAATATTCCTTTTAAACTTTTAAATATGCCTTTTATCTCATCTCATGAGGGTCACACAGGCTGAAAAGTAAATTTCTCTCTATATTTCTCTCTCTCCCTTCCTCCCTCCCTCCCTCTCTCTCTCTCTTCTGAGAGGCAGCTTCCCTACAGCCCTGGGTGCTAGGTTTTGAGGCCCAAAGTGATAAACAGGAGCACCTTTCAGTTACTTTGTTGGTTGTTTGATAAAGTAGGAACTAGGTGCTGGCTACATGTCATGGGGTTATATGAACTGCCTAGAATTTTCCATAACAGCTGGAACTTCAGGAACAGACCAGGACTTACTGCACTGTGATTATTCAGGCACGCACATTTTTTTCTTGACTTTCATCAGAGATCTCATTTAGTTTTTGTAGTCTAGTGATATGGCTCGGTGATGTGAAATGCAAGCTTGTAAAATGTGGCAATCAATGAAGGGATGGGAAAATGCTGTGCTATATAGGTAGGTAAAAACATATTTATTATCAATATCAGGAAAATGTATTCTTAACAATCAAGATTTAATGGTATTACATCTTTTAATTTTATAACTATCATAGACCTTTGTGCACTCATTCATTGAGCATTTACTGGTAACTCTTTTAGCCAGATGAGATTATAAGAGTTGAAGATTAAAAACATTGCCACTCCTTAACCCCAGAAGGATGCACAGTATACAAGAGACAGCATAAGTGCTTACTTAGATTTCACAAGACTAGAGTGATTTGTCAGTAGGTGCAAATTAGGCTTCACAAGAGAAGGGGCATTTGAGTAGGAGGTAGGATGAAAAGAAGCCATTTTAGGGACACATATATGACTCACCAAGGCATGAAGGAAATGGTGAGTTTGGAGGACATTGAGAGAAGTTGATTGTAGCTGTTCACAGGACTGGGAATGTGACAAATGACTGGAGATGAAACTGAGACACAAGTTTCCCTAGTGAGCAGATCCACAACTATGAAGTCCCACCACATCCAAGTCATGTGGCTACTGGGGTTTCAGGCTGAGGGGTGCATATGCAATGTTAATTGTGGTGCACACAGAATGAGAGTGGTGACCTATATACAAGTGAAGGAAAGGTCAATATGAAGTGAGTGGTGGATGATACAAGAAACCCACAGTTTATAAAGGGCAGAGAGGATGAATTTGACAAGTATATAGGATAGAATTCATATGCTATAATACTAACATGGAACATTTGTCTGTAGCACAAGCTGTGCCAAGTCCTCATCTCTAGTGGACTTCACATCCACTTAGTTTCTATACAGGAAAACAGATACTTGACTTTAAATTATACAGCTTTTATGTTAGAGGCAGGATTTTTTTAATTTTTGAGATCAATTTGTGTGTGTGTGTGTGTGTGTGTGTGTGTGTGTGTTCGTGAGAGCTATATGAATTCAGCAACCTGCCGTGACCAGAGGAGGGCATTGGATCTGTCATGGGTGTTAGGGACTGAACTCAAATCATCTGCAAGAACAGTAGGTGCTCTTACCTGCTGAGTCATCTATCAGATCTGAACCCAATCTATTTGGTTCTGAAGGACAACTCTTAATTTTCTTAAGAGGAATGATTTGGAGTAATACCAGAGTTTGCTTCTTACACGATGTAATAAATGATAATAACTAAGATAAAGACCTCACAATTTAGTCAGCTAGATATTTATTGTGTCAAAGTACTTGCTGTACAAACCTAATAACCTGAATTCAAATCCCTGCAGTTCTTACAGGAGGGAAAGTACAGAATGTCCTCTGGCCTCCAAACATGTATAGCAGTGTATGTGTGTGTCCCCTCATGTATAAGTTATAGTAGATGCTAAACAAATGTGTGGACAAATTCATCAAGAGATACCATAGATAGTGAAAAATTAAACTGAAGTTTTGGAAAAGGTGGAACTTAAACACAGAGCCTTGAAAAACTTTAGCATGAAGGAAAATCAAAATCCTGAGATTAGCTGACTTAATTTAGCCAATATGAATTGAAGAATTTTTGAGCAAGAATAAAGAGACAAATGGTAAAAGGGAGCAAAAGCCAAGTAAATATAGTGTCCTGAGAACTTTCATGGAGTAGGCAATGAGATGTCCCAAAAAATGTTAATGAGTAGTCAGTTAGGAATATCGTCCTAGAAGCTTAAAAAGAAATTTTTCTTTTCTTTTCCTTTTTTAAAGATTTATCTGTCTATTTATTTTGTGTAAGCATGTGAGTGTACTTCAGTTTATGTGAATTAAGTATGTAGAGGTACCCATGGATGTCAGAAGGTGATAGATCTCCTAGAACTGGAATCACAGGTTTTTATCAACTCTCTGTTGAGGGTGCAGGAAACCAAATTGAGTTCTCTACAAGAGCAGGGAGTGCTAAGTCATCTCCAGACTTCAAAGGGGTTTTGAATAGAGAAATTAATGCTCAATGAGAATTAGATAAAGCATTTGAGCATTGGGCTGCCATTGCACCTTGTCAAATGAAGTGTGGGAGGATGTGGAGGCAGGAGCTGAGAGAGTTGTTAGAATGCTTTCTGCTGCAAGGAATAGATGATGCAATTTACAATGGGTTATTTTCTTTCTCAAATAAGAATTCAGAAAGTGAGCCCCCTTTAAGGTTTCTGTACAATATCTAGGTCTTTTGTTTATAGACCTAAGCACCACACTTTTGCTAGACAAGTTAAAGTCAGCAGTGTTTCTTTTGTGTCTCTTTTTTTGGGTAAGAATCTCCATAGAAACCTCCTAGCAGACTCTAATTGCATCTTATCACTCAGTGATGCGTCATACTCCTGTTTGCCACATGCAGAGGAGGTAGTGAATGCAGACATTCATCATTTGTAGCCTTACAATGAGTAACATGCTCTCTAGGGGATATCAAGGGTATTAAGCAAATGGTTGCAGAGTTGACAAGGTGTGTCTGCTATGAGGAATAATAGGAAAGTGATATGCACATGGTGTCAAGGAGATGACTATAAGGGAGAAACTAAAGACTGGGATGCTTTTTGAGTAGGGCAAGCCTATTTGGATTATGGAATTTGACATTTGTGTTACAGGTAATCATTTTGTTCTCTGTCTCCAGAAACAAGGGAAATGGAAGACAGTGATATGTTACCTCAGATCATCCATAGCATACTATCAACATCTCATTCTCGGTTTACAAGAAGTCTCCAAGGACTTGATGAAGATGTCACCACACCTTATGACTATGATAATGGTGAGCCATGTAATAAATACAACGTGAAGCAGATGGGTGCCAGGATCCTGCCCCCACTCTACTCTCTGGTATTCATCTTTGGTTTTGTGGGGAACATGTTGGTCATTCTCATTCTGATAAGCTGCAAGAAACTGAAGAGCATGACTGACATCTACCTGTTCAACCTGGCCATCTCTGACCTGCTCTTCCTGCTCACTCTCCCATTCTGGGCTCACTATGCTGCAAATGAGTGGGTCTTTGGGAATATAATGTGTAAATTCCTCACGGGCCTCTATCACATTGGTTATTTTGGTGGAATCTTCTTCATTATCCTCTTGACAATTGATCGGTACTTGGCTATTGTCCATGCTGTGTTTGCTCTGAAAGCCAGGACAGTCACCTTTGGGGTGATGACAAGTGGAGTTACTTGGGTGGTGGCTATGCTGGCCTCTCTCCCAGGAATCATATTTACTAAATTCAGAATAGATCAAGATCATCAAGGTCAAGATCATTACACCTGTGGTCCTCATTTTCCATTAATATGGAAGAATTTTCATGCAATAATGAGGAATATCTTGAGTCTGGTCTTGCCCCTACTTGTCATGGTCATCTGCTACTCAGGAATCCTCCACACCCTGTTTCGTTGTAGAAATGAGAAGAAGAGGCACAGGGCTGTGAGGCTCATCTTTGCCATCATGATTGTCTACTTTATCTTCTGGACACCCTACAACATTGTTGTCTTCCTGAATACCTTCCAGGAATTCTTGGGACTGAGTACCTGTATGATTACCAATCACTTAGACCAGGCCATGCAGGTGACAGAGACTCTTGGAATGACACACTGCTGCATCAACCCTGTCATCTATGCCTTTGTTGGGGAGAAGTTCCGAAGGTATCTCTCCATATTCTTCAGAAAGCACATTGCTAAACGTCTCTGCAAACAGTGCCCAGTTTTCTACAGAGAGACAGCGGATCGAGTGAGCTCAACATACACCCCTTCCACTGGGGAACAAGAAGTCTCAGTTGGGTTGTAAAGCAAAGGGTGGTTTGCTTTATTTTTTTTTTTTTCTAATCAGGGTACAAGGAACAGTTTGTATATGGTAACAAGCTTCAAAGCCAGTGAATTTCACACCTTTGGGTCTCAATCCCTTGGGGGCCTGGAAGGCCCTTTCAGAGGGGTTGCCTAAGACCATCAAAAAATGCAGATATTTATATTACAATTTATAACTAACAAAATGACAGTTATGAAGTAGCAAAAAGAAATTATGGTTGGGGATCACCACAACATGAGGAACTGTATTAAAGAGTCCCAGGATTACCAAAGTTGAGAACCACTGCTCAAAGATACATTGACGAATAGGTGTCCAGGAACCTTACGATTATGCCAAGACAGAACTACATCACTTCTTGTACATACAATACTTGCTCAGGAAACATCTAGAATAAATGCTGGTAGACTCTTCAGCTTTCCAGTGAACTCTTCTCTGCCTCTAGGAAGAGCCTTATTTTCTTGTGGTAATACTATTTTGCCAAGCGTCACTCTGTTTCTCCCTGTTTCTAACAAGATGAGCTTGGAATGAATATGAAGAAGGGTGTGAGGATTTCAGGACTGAGTGAGAAAGGGGATGAGACAAGCATTGTTGATTCTGGATGAAGATGAAGATGAAAGAGAGCAGGAGCCCTTTTCATTTGGAAAGAAATGTCCTGGTCTTTGGCTCCATCTCCCACCTGTATTTAATGATGAAGGCGTTATTAGGTTAGGAAAATCTGGGAACTGTAATAGTTTATTGGGAACTTTATTTGAGCCCCCTGATCCTTTTATACATAACTGCCTTGCACATTTTTACTTTGTTATTTTTATGATGACAACATGGAAAATCTTTTCAATATCACACTCAATTGTTTACATGTTTCTCAAGCCACAACTCTTTACATAATATTTATAAAATTATAGGTTATAAAATATGCCTCATCACTGGTTAATCCCAAAATAATAAAGACTCTTGTTTGATATTTTCAGGAAGAACAAAGATTGGAGGTAGTGAGTGACCAAGAGTGTGGAGAAAAGCCAATCCCTCCATCAGACACAGGGGGCTGCAGCAGAAAGGCAGGGGAGATGTGGGTCAGCAGCGAGGATATGTTTAGAACCACATAGAACCTCAGTACTGAGGAAAGGTTGCTGTCTGGTTGTAAATTGGTGTTATTTCATTGCTCTTATTTCCTGCTGCCCCGTAACCTTTGCACCTGCCTTCTTTCCCCATGGTGTTTATTTTCTAACTTCCATACTTCAAACATCAGTGGGCCAGAGAAAAGTGTGTTTGAAACAGCCAAGCGTGAGCTCCTGCATAGTCCCAGGAGAGAAAAAGCACTGGGTATGTTTTGTGGGTAAAGAAAGGGATGGAACAGAAGTACTTATTTTGTATTTATATTCCTACCCTAGGAACATATCTTAATTACAGGCAGGATAAGCCTATATAAAAAGAGATTACAGATGGAGTGAGAAGAAGGGTGTCACAGACTAACTTCTACTGCCTTATTTTTGGATACAAATATAATTCAGAGATTTAAAAAAAATCAAAAATAGAAAAAATAAAATCAAGACCGAAAACTTTAACTTTTAAATGTGGCAAAATACCTCTATTCTTACCTTGCTAGCCTTGAATGTATTGCATTAGTTACAGAGAAAATTCTGGCTCTGAGTATAAGAGCTGACATAAAAATTCTAGATTGGCAGGGCCTTGAGTCTGTGATCTGTGGGCTTACCCAGTTACGGTCATACAGAGTCTAAGCCATCGGGAACCCAGCACATACTACACAGAGGCTGTCAGCAGGGCACTTGTTTTCTCAGCCTTGTTTTCCCCAAACTCCTTTGTATTGTTCTTCCTGGATGTGCTAATGATGATAGATTGTCCTTCTGGTGAGTAGGAGCCCCCAAGTGAAGTCAGCTTCTAATCAAAGCTTTAACAATTTAATTTACAAAGGAGAAGAGTTAGACAAACTCCTTCTCATATGAAAAAATATCTCCCTTGAATGAACCAAGAATGCTTTTCCCTATCCCATATTGTTTTTCTCAGCCGACAGAAGAAGCAAAGAAAGAAACAGACAACCTGGGAACCGGAAGTCTTTGTGGTTTGGCTTTGTTATCGCATGATGAAAAAAGGTTTCTGGAAGAAGGGGAGGATTCGAGTATCACCTTCAGATATCTTAATAGTTTCCTTTTAGTGATGATATGTAAATATTTTTAAAATCCTATGATTTGAGAAATAAATAAAAATGTTCTGTCTATATTGCTAGAAATATTAAAAAGAAACAAGCATATGTTTTGTTACACCAGTGTGGTTGACTGTTTTGTTCACAACTACGCACATCTTCCTCTGTACCACTCTGCACTTACACATACCTGGTACCTCATAGAGGGGAATGACTTACAGCCTGCCTTCCAGGCTATACACAATCCTGCAGCTATTCCACTAGAAGACAAACACCGAGGATCTCTGTCTTTTCCAGTTATGGTCTCAGCATGGGTGGTGTGCGCCTCTTTTTAGCAAACTAAAGCCAAGCATCTCAGTGAGTGAGAAGATAAGAGAAATGAAGCCAGGATCACAGCCATGAAGAAAAGGAACAAGAGGTCCATATCCATTGTGACAAGCCACTGGATCAGGGGGTTATTTGTTACAGACAACGCTGACTAATACATATGGGAGAGTTTTTTTTATAATATTTTTTACTGTGAGGTGCAGTGTGAAAAGCAACCTGAGTGTCCACAGATTGGGTGGGTAAGGTGAAAACGAATATCCATTGTCATGTCCTTACGTCCTTTAGACCTTGCAGACCAGGGCCCCGGAGAGTGGCATGAGCTGCAGAGGGCTCATATATGATCACGTGAACACAGGGGAAAAGGCATATATAGGACTCTTTTGAGAATCCAGAGGGCAGGGACTAACTCAGTGGTGGTCATGCAGCATGGTATAGACACACACAGTAGGATTTGGTAGCCACAGAAGAAACTACCTTGTAGGGGTTGTCTGTTAAGAGTTTCCAGAAGTGAGCTCTAAAGTCATCTAGGGAGAACTTTTGAGTGCAAAGTCGGAGGAAAGGGAGAATGAGGGAGAGGAAAGACTACCATACCAAGGGATGGGCATTTGAACAGTTTTGGTGGATTAGTGGGCTTGACACTGTTCCTAAATGGCCTTTTGTCTGTGCTGTCAAAGCAGCTGGGGAGGCTGCGTATGTGCAGAGGACTCTGCAGCTGCCTGAAAGGACTCCAGTAAACTTTTACATTTGCTTTTACCCATTATTTAAACTTCTCTGATAAATGAAATTACCTCAAATGAGGTTATCCAGCAAGGTTGACTACGCAGGTACCTCTACAGAAACAGCACACACACACACACATTCACCACACACATTCAGCACACACAACACCACTAGGTGTGTCACTAGGCCACACCTACTCCAACAAGGTCACACCTTCTAATTCTTTCAAATAGTGCAACTCCTTGGTGATCAAGCATTCAAATATATGAGCCTATCCTTATTCAAACCACCACACATAATATCTGTAACTTTGAGAAGGTTCTGGTGTGGTGTGGTGTGTGGTGAATGTGTGTGGTGAATGTGTGTGTGTGTGTGTGTGTGTGTGTGTGTGTGTGTGTTGGGGATATATAAATCAAGAGTTGTATCCCTGCTGTTGTCCCCAGCATAAAGTTTGTGCCACATCAGCTCAGCAATTCATAAGCACACATCGGGTAACTGAGTAAAGTTTTGGCTCATTGACAGTGACTATTAAACCTCCTAATACAAAATATTTGCAATATGAAATTATTTTCTTTCTCTAGAATAAAGTTCAATTGGTCCTCAGAGTCAATTAGATTCTGAAAGGCTGTGCTTAAAGCAGGTATGGGCTCTGCCTTTCCTGTCCCAACTCCAGCCCCACCCTCAGCCCTGTTTGAGGTCTGCCTCAAGATGACCTCCAGTGCATATCCTTTCTAGGGATAGGCTAGCCATGAGGAAAGCGGATATGGCCAGAAGGACACACATTTCTTTACAGAGCTGGTTCCTACCACAGGCCCTTCTGTATTAGCAAAGATGCCCAGAAAGATGAACACTGTTGTGTTCTTCCTTCAGAGGACCCAGAGCTAGTAAGGACACCCATGACTACCTATTAGATACACAAAATCTCCTTCAAACTGGGCTTTTTCCAACTCACCATTTCTTGGGTGATGATATTGTCTGTCTCTGATAGTGGACTCCATAATACAACTGTAGCCTGGCCACCTTGTTTGGTAGCCATGCAACCTAGTATACATGAAGTATTGAGATTTCTTTGTTTCCTCATACATACCCTGTCTCTACCCCTTCACACACACACACACTTCAAATTCCACCCCTTAGACCCCTTTTCACCCGACTGGCTGCCCTTTCCTCTTATAAACCCCAATTTCTAATGTGACTCTCTTGGAGTCCCACCTGGCTCTGAGAGGAAGAACATGAATTAATCTTGCCCTCCCACTAATTGACTGCTTCTACGGACATTAGAAAGAGTTGATGAGACAGCACAGGGATGGTTCTGTCACTTCTTAGTAAGCCCAGGAAAGGTGTCTAACCCCAAGTGTCAGTGGTTTCCTCTATAATGGCGAAGCACTTAACACTTCTTGCCCTCAGCCTTAGATTGTAGTTGTCGGTTCCAGAGTGATCAGAATAACCTTACATAATATCCTGTTACACACAGAGCTGTAGATGTGATCTGACCCACTAGAGATGACAGTGGTGTGTTATAAGCCTTAATTGGTACATAGATTCTGTTACCATTCCCAAGATTGCCTTAGATCCATGTCTTGGCACTGTTCTAAAGTAAAGATTCCAAATACATACGGCAGAATTCCAAATTGAGCTAAGTGGTTTATGTCATGTCCCAGACATATCTAATAAAAGTATATAACAGACAGCCTCTGAGATTTACATGATTTGATATTTTTCATGGAGTTTACAAAATGGTTAGGCTGAGGAGGGGGTTATGCTGTCATTACTAATGTCTAGAGGACAAAGACAAAAAATGGAAAAATAGAATAGTGTCTCCCATTTCCAGTTTTCATGACAGGAGTATGAAGCAGGAAGTAAAGAATTTGGGAGTCATTGAACCCAAGCATCATTGCTGAGGCACAGAGACGAATGTGTGACATTGAGAAGTGGTGAGCAGAGGCTTCTTGTTTCTGTAAAACCTGGAAGGAGTCTCTGGCTACCCTGATAAAGGTAGACTTCCTCCTTGACAGGACAAAAAAATTGACAATGACAATTAGTATAACATTGTTCCTGTTGGTAAATTACAGAAGGGATCCTATCTCCTCTGTAAAACATATCTAATGCTGTGATGTGGAGCAAAGACACCAGGCCAGAGGAAGGCAGTATCTGGAATTTCCTTTTTATGAAGTTAAAAACTATCTGATCTATATAAAGAAGGTCAATGACCCAAAGACACCTTCCTAGGCCACAGGGAAGATATATTCCTTATTACCAGATCTCAATGGAGTTTTGTAACTATGTAATTCAAAACTGGCAAAGTTATACAACTAATATATAAGACCTCAATTAAAACTGCAGTTAAAGAAATATACTCATAATAAGAAAAACTTTTTTAGACAAGGTCTCACTATTTAGTTCTAGCTGACCTGGGACTCAACGTAGACCAGACTAACCTCATACTCAAAGAAGTCCACTTGCCTCTGTCCCTCAGGACTGGAATTAAAGGTAGTACTGCTGCATCTGACTTATTTTTTTTTAATCTGGGTACTGGGGATCTAAACACAAGTCCTCATACTATCACAGCAAGCACATTATCCACTGAGCAATCTCCTGAGTCCTAGATATTTGTTTTCTTAAAAGATTCATTTGGATTTGAGAGGAAGTTGCTGCGTTCTTGTGTTCATGTAAGTGGTCCCTCAAACTCAAAAGGAAAGGTCAGTATCTCCCTATTTATTGAGGATGCCCTAAATATTGGTTCTGGGATGTTGTGGGCAATGAGAGCAAAGCCAGGAGAGGGAAACTGATACAATGACTAGTGATGGAGGAGTTGCTTAAAGACTTACTGGTGTCCCAGAAGAAGAGCTGGCTTGAGATACTCCACATGGACATGGAGTCTAGAGGGACAAACTAATCATAAGATTGTTTCTGTGTGGTAGTCTAAGTACAACTTATATGAGAACAAAGTAACGCAAACTGGGATGGGCAAAGCATTACGTGAAGAAGAGACCAAAATCCAAGTTGTAGCTCAATATTGTTGTAATGTCCAGAACAAAGTTTACTTGTGAGTAAAGACTTCTCTATGAGTTCATAGGTCCTCATTTCCTTGTGTGTCCTTGAGATAAACTTCTACCTGGGAATTGACTGGAATGCATCTCTGGACCTGGCATTCAATAAATGGTAAAAACCTTGCTCAGCTGGGCTTCTTGTTGCAAACTGTGATCTTGGCCCTGCCTCTGTTTCAAGGCATACTTTTTAAACTGCATGGTCTCTGATAACATTCATTCTTTCACACATCTAGCACATCACTAGCAGGAGAGACAATGAAATTTCAGAGGTAAAGTAGCTTGCCAAGACCACACTGTCTGAGTGACTTTTGAGCCACATAGCTTCTCCACACTGCCCTCTGGAGGTGAGCTGTCCTATCTTCCACTACCCAGAAACTATCTCAACACAGCCTAAGCCCTAACAATATTAATCAATAGTATTCACAAACAGAATTATAAAATTTGTCCAGCAGCCCTGGAGAGGCCTACCTCAGAGAATGCTGAAGAAATGCAGATTTTAAATTGTGTTTATTTTGAAAAGGCTACTGAGTAACTAAGAGATTGCTGTTTACTTTGTGTGTAGTTTGTCCATATATTTGTTGTTAGTTTTTCTTATTGCTACCAAACTTAGATCTGGGCACTTACCACATAGAAAATTAGTCCCCAGGAAACAATAATTGGAAAAAAAATAAAGCTGAATTTATTGAGGATGCCAGTCACTTGGAGGAAAGAACACTCCCCTGTTCCAAGTCTATGGGGGAAGTGGGAATATTTATGTTAGAACAAGATTAAAATTTATGTGTAGAGTCAGTATCCCCAGGAACTTGAGTTAGATAATCTTGGAAATGAGGAATAAGAATAAAGCAAAATGGAGTCACTGAAGGCAACAGCCTGTTATAACAGCTCATGACATGACTACTGTTTTTCAGCCTAACATACATATGAGGCAGTTGATGGGAGTCAAGTGTGGCAGTCTAGCTGCGGAAGCCTTGCTAGGGTCCATGGACTAGGCTGCCTCTTGCTGATATAGGAACAAGTGATTTTGCTGTTTGAAGTTTTCTTACCTTCCTATAGGTCATAAGTCAAAGCTGCTGTTTCTACAGCTGAGGGGTCCTTGTGTCTCATTGGTAGCTCTTTGCTGTGTTTTCATCTCTGCTGTCATTCCTTGATGTTTTTAAAAATTCATCCACCACCGAGGAGACCTGATATGGCCACATATAGCATTATCATGTTGTCCTGAATTTTATCATGCACTTTTTTTCACTGCTGCATGAAAAACCCTCCATGTCTCCAGATAAATTATGTTCTTGGAGTGAAGCACTTTGTTACCTTTAAATCTGATGTAGAGTAAGTACTCACAAATTTCTACTTAAAATATGTAATTATGTGTCTCACCAGTTACCAGATATAGGAGAGAACCAGGAAATATGCTTGGTTCCCAGGAAAATGCAAACCCTCTTTTGCCAGTTGCTTAAGTTTACACAGAAGAGTCATACTGGATGGTAAATGTAGGAAAGCGAGTGGAGGATGGGTAAAAGGAGGAACAAAGTTCTGTTCTGTAATGAACCTTCTATCTGATTTTAATTTTAATCTGATTGGCTGGAGTTTACTTTAACCAAGAGCAACTGTGAGGAGAGCACATCTTCTTGCCCTTTGGCTTTACCAGTGAGACACTGAGGTATTGTGTACATTATTTGTCTCTTAAACAGTGATTCTCTTGATTCAAATGTGGGCTTTGAGTAATGGATACAAGTATTCTCCTATCTTTAAAATTTCTTTCTAATTTCTAATAGGCTGTGGGGTGGAGTCGATTGAACAGAGAACATAAATAAAATAATGTGAAGAGGGAAACTACTCAATAAAATTTCAGACCAGAGCTGCCTTCTATTTTCTGCTTTAAATGCAACTTTAATGAAAAAAAAAGAAGAACTGATCCAACACTCCTCCACCCTGAGACACTACGTAATACCCGTTCTCATAAAACTCCACCCCCCCTTGAAAGAATTCTTGTTTCTTACTTTATACTGTCTATATGTTTGATTTGTACAGCACTCATAGCCAGAGGAGCTGAGACATCCGTTCCCCCGACAAGAAACTCTGGTAAGTCAACTCTTAACCCCTGGGAGGTTAGTTTAGCTCAGCCTCTATGATGAGTAAAAACTTCAACAGGAAATCCTGAGCGGACATCTGTCAACACCAGGTGCTCACTGGATTATCTGAAAATATAATCTTTAAGACACAGAAAGGGTAAGAATTTAGGATATGTTTCCGTATGTGATGTCATCCAGTATATAAAACATAATTGTGAAGTATTTAAAAGAGACAATAGTTTTTTTAAAAAAAAAAAAAAGCAGAGTTTTTACCTTTTAAAATAGCTTTGACAGCAACGATACTGGCTGAAAACTGGTTTGATAATCATTATCTTCAGCTGAGAAGAGATGAAACCTCTCTGTGGTCTTCTGGAGCATGGGTGTGTCAGAAGCTCTAAGTCTCTTGTGCTCTCTTTCTCCCCCTACCCACCTGTCTCTCAGAAAAGAGGGGGAAACTAAAAATTGTCTAAGTTCATATCAAATTACAAATATCTAAGTTACTTACAGAGGATTTTTGTTCTGGCTCAGCACTTAAAGGTGAGATTTTCTGGGTGTTTCTCTCAACTGTCTAAGTAGGGGGTATGAAGAGCTTTGGAGGTCTGAGGATCAAGTAGAGAGAATTCTCAAGTGAAGCAGCAGAACTCAGACAGGACAAGTCAGTTAGTTATAGAGGCTGAACACAGGACTCTTTAGCCTGTAAGATATTCATGCATGGAGATGGATGGAACATTTTATACCTGACCATTTCTTCTGCTTATATGAGAACTTTTGGTGGCAGCAACTTAGGAAGCAGAAATAACTTCATAGAAGAGATGAAGATGGCCCACTTTAATAACTAATGAAAGATTCTGTGACACTGTTGGAGTACTGTTGGAGTACATCAGCCCATTTTATCCTGACTACAGAGAGGCAACATGTTACTAAACGTGTGTTAATTACCAAGAAGCAACAGGCAACATGTCAGTTAAGGATTCATAATCCCTGAATTCAAAATCAGTGTAGTGTGGCTTTGTGTTGACTTATTAATTCTCTCTGTACTCGGGGCCATTTTATCTAGAAAAATTTGAGCAATATTACCTGCCTCAAACAGTTACCTTAAGTATTTAATGAATGAATAGGTAAGACACTTAGAATAGTGATTAGTACTCAGTGTTCATTCTTGCTGGAATTTATGTGGCACCTACTGTTTGTGGGCAAATGCCTAGAAACAGAATCTTCAATAGAGGTCTTAAACCTGTGCACAGTGCCTGGCTCAGTTTCACAGATTAATTCGCCCCACACTGATAGATAAAGCAATATTTTATTTGATGAAATGCATGTTTTATGAATTTTATCTCATACAACAAGGGTAAAATTAAATGTAGAAATCTATGCCTCAAAGACCTACTAAGTTATAAAACCATTTGTAATTGTGGTAGACCAATAACAGCTTTTAACTTTATTAAGCATTGTCTTTTCTGTGTTCATAGATTCTTGCAGAATGGATTTGCAAGTATCAACTCCAAGCGATCTCTATGATGATTATGGTGGATCAGCACCCTGCCAAAAAACAAATGTGAAACAAGTTGCAGCCCAGCTCCTGCCCCCACTCTACTCTCTGGTATTCATCTTTGGTTTTGTGGGGAACATGTTGGTCTTCCTCATCCTGATAAACTTCAAAAAGCTGAAGAGCATGACTGACATCTACCTGTTCAACCTGGCCATCTCTGACCTGCTCTTCCTGCTCACTCTCCCATTCTGGGCTCACTATGCTGCAAATGAGTGGGTCTTTGGGAATATAATGTGTAAATTCCTCACAGGACTCTATCACATTGGTTATTTTGGTGGAATCTTCTTCATTATCCTCCTGACAATTGATCGGTACTTGGCTATTGTCCATGCTGTGTTTGCTCTGAAAGCCAGGACAGTCACCTTTGGGGTGATGACAAGTGGAATCACTTGGGTGCTGGCTGTGCTTACTTCACTCCCAGAAATCATCTTTATCAAATCTCAAAAAGAAGGTCTTCATTATACATGTAGTCCTCATTTTCCACACAGCCGATATCATTTCTGGAAGAGTTTCCAAACATTAAAGATGGTCATCTTGAGTCTGGTCCTGCCCCTACTTGTCATGGTCATCTGCTACTCAGGAATCCTCCAAACCCTGTTTCACTGTAGAAATGAGAAGAAGAGGCACAAGGCTGTGAGGCTCATCTTTGCCATTATGATTATCTACTTTATTTTCTGGACACCCTACAACATTGTCCTTCTTCTGCACACCTTCCAGGAATTCTTTGGACTGAATAATTGCAGTAGTTCTAATAGACTAGACCAGGCCATGCAGGTGACAGAGACTCTTGGGATGACACACTGCTGCATCAATCCTGTCATCTATGCCTTTGTTGGAGAGAAGTTCCGGAATTATCTCTCGGTGCTCTTTCAAAAACACATTGTCAAACGTTTTTGCAAGCACTGTCCAATCTTCCAGCAAGACAATTTTGATCGTATAAATTCAGTCCATACCCGGTCCACAGGGGAGCAGGAAGTTTCTACTGGTTTATGATCTGGGCTGAGTTTTGTATATTTTTAATTTTCTATGTATCTTGAGAGTAGAAATATTTTTTAAGAAAGAAGATAATATCATAGAGGGCCTAAAATGCATGCATGTTTTGGATATTTATTTTAGATAGATGGGGTCTTTTAAAGCCCATTGGTTTTAGAAAGCCAAATGAGAATGTATCAGTGAGATAGTGATCCTTGGCCTCATTTTCACTCACCTCCAGATATGGCAAACTCTTTTTGAGCCACAAAAATTCACTATAAAAAAAATCCCATGAATTGGGAGATTTTTAAGCTTGACTATCTGAACAGAAATAACATCAATCAAGAAGAAAGCCTTATACAGTTTTTTTCCTATACAAGGCAAAAATTCAGGCTATAAGTATAACTTAAAATAGATCTTTGTCTTGTCCTAAGAAGAAAAGATGAGAGTGTGATTAGTTAGAAAATAAATAACTAAGTTCTATGAATTAGTTCCATAGACTTGTATGATCAGATAAATGCTCTGTGGCCTGGGAGGGGTGCGAACAAATCTTTTTATAAGAAGGAATTTGAACTGGATCATGTTAATAAATGAGACAGAGGCAAGTCATTCTTTGGGTGGCAAAACTACACTAGCAAAGCAAAGGTAGACCTGTGGCTATTTGGAAAGGCCATGGAGAGAGAGTCAAGGCTGGACAACAACGCACTATGTCAGCATTGCTCTTTCAAAGTTATGAGTAGAGTGGAAGCACATGGACAGGTTTGTACAAAGGTTATTTCATGGCTTTGGTGAGCATTCAGGGAAAGTAGATCAGCAGCAATAAGTTCAGAGTGAGATTTGGACACCTTGGCTAAACAGTGGGGAAGCATCACTTCGGCATATAGGACCTAGAGTCAGCAGAATTTTGGGTAAATTGGAGGTAGAAGTGAACGAGAACCTCCAGACTCAAGCAGTTTGGAATAACCATAGAATAAACAACAAATAAGAGAGTACAGTAAAGAGTCTGGCCTACGAGGGTAGTCTCATTTTAAAGCCTGTAGCCTCAGCTGGTATTTTGTACCTGCCCTTCAGACCCAAATTTTGCCATACCAATTTTGAATCTTAGGGTGTAACCAGGGGACTTATGAATCATGAGCCTAAAGTCTAGAAATAATACAGATTCCTTATGGATTCAGCTAAGGATTGCTTATATAATTTGAACCCAGAGCTTTACAACTTTAAGCAGAGGCCCTAAGATATGAGGGGAGAGCATCAATTTTCTCTATTTACCTAGCAATCAGCAAAACTGAGAGAAACAATTTGCGGTGAGCTTCAGAAGTCAAGAAAGTGTAATTACCACCCTCTGTGTTCCAGGCTAAGAGTGAAGGTTTCAGTTACTCTTTACAGATGGCTTCTCCACACAATGCTGAATTTATCCATTGCAGAGAGGTTTGGGATTTTTCTGTTGTTTTTGCAGTTGTTATTTATGATATTGTTTTGAATTTTGGAGCAGTTAAGATCTTCACAGTGAAGACTAAGGGGAGAAACAAAAGGATGAGAATCATTCAAAGGATTAAAGTGTCTGGCTAACAAAAGATGCTACTTGTTTTTCTGAAGCTCTGAGTGTGAAACCAGAGGCTTGTGGCTGTCAGCAGGAAGTGAGCATTTGCTTTTTTCTTTCCTGAGATCCACATTTTCTCCTCCAATATGTAGCTGAGACTAGACTCAAATTTATACTCCTCCTTCCTACATCTCAAGCACTGAGATTACAGGTGTATATGAACACACCCAGCTCCATATTTTTATATTCTTAAGCATATAGAAAGTTGTAAATTCTTTGAAGATAATATGAGACTTATAAAAAATGCCTTTAAAAATAATTTCATTTTTGTTCTTTCAATCAAGTGAACATTTAGTGAACAGTACACAAAATTATGAGAGTATTTTATAAATAGTTATTTTGGAGAACATCCCCAAATAGTACTTATTTAAATATAGTCCTAAGCTTAAATGGATGATGATGGTGATTATATTTCCTTTAAAATATTTTTAACAGTCAACTTTCTTCCTAAGACAGACTGTTATAATAATTATAGTTAAAGGTGTTACTTCTGCTGGGCGGTGGTGGCACACACCTTTAATCCCAGCACTTGGGAGGCAGAGGCAGGCAGATCTCTGTGAGTTCAAGGTCAGCCTGCTCTACGAGAATAGTTCCAGAACAGGTTCCAGAGCAACATAGAGAAACCCTGTCTCAAAACAAAACAAAACAAAAAAGGTGTTACTTCTAAGCGCGTAGTTCCTGAGCAGAGTTGCCTTGAGAGATCGTAAATTTCAAATTGTGTTTACCCTCAACCAAAAGAGTTTTAATATATTTACAAATTGATGTCAGAAGTCAAGAATTTGAGAATAAAGACATGCAACTTCGTGGTCTGTTGTCTAAGGGGAGGCACATGGTAGGGAGGATGAGCATTGCTTTTCCTTTATTTAAAATTCTTTTCCAAAGTGTGTTAGTAATTTCAGTAATGGCAACTATGTAACACTGGAACTTCTGTCCACATAGTTCTTGGTCAGAGAGAGGAGAGATGCTTCAAGGAGAGTTTAGAACATGCTCGTTTTCAGTCTGCTACAGCCTTAGTTTCCAAAGCAGGGTGTGTGAAGATGTTAGAGTTGGTCATGCTCCTAAAAGAAGGAACACAAAATGAGTAGTAAGCAAGACAGGGCTAGTACAGTAACTATTATCAGATTCAAAGGGTTGCTTTTCATTCCTTAAATCCAAAGGTGGGATGTATCAAAGAAGAGTGAGAGGCAGCTGGGGTTAAAAGAGAAAAGAATCGGGGACGGGAGCCCTATCTGCTATGATAAAGCCAGCTGTTGTGGGAATATGGGAATGTGTGCTAGTAGCTTTTCTTGTTGCTGTGACAAAATCTGACAAAGGCAACTTAAAGAAGGGTTTGTTTTTGTTGATAGTTTGAAGGAATGCAGCCTACCATGGTGTGTGAGGAATGTGAGGTTGTTGGTTACATTACATCTGCATCCAGGGAGGAGAGAGCTGAATGCTGGTTTCAGCTCCCTTTCTCCTTTTCATTCAGTCCAAGTCCCCAGTCTATAGAATGGTGGTGCCCACATTCAGGGTAGGTCTTCCCTTCTGAGTTAATTCTTTCTAGAAACATCCTCATAGATACAACCAGAAATGTGTTTTCTGGTAATTCCAGTCAAGCTATCAATACCACCCATCACAGAAAGAGTCAGTTTTTTTATAGCTGATGTATACAGTCTTACTTACCTTTCCATATGTTAGATGAATCCATGACAAAAAGATGTTTTAAGTGTCAAATGACTATGTATATATTTCTTTCACAATTTTATAAATATTTTAATGTTTCATTTGGCTTTATGTTGTTATGACTTCATTGGATTATAAATTCTGTGTTATAATTCTAACATACTTCAGGAGTCTATTTTTGTTTCAAAAGATTTTTTGAAAAGTTTTTCATTTGTTTGTTTTGTGAGACAGGGGTTCTCTTTGTAGCCCTGTACTGGAACTCACTCACTGCCTCTGCCTCCCATGTGCTGGGATTAAAGGCCTGCCACCACCTCAAAAGCATATGAACCATTTCCTGCTTGAGTCAGTAGGAAGGCTATCAAAACTGCAAATAACCTGGGCTATATTGCTTCCATACTGCCCACCAGTGGCCAACTAGCAAACTACCAAGAATGCCTGGCAACCAGCCTTGACACAGCAGACAAACAGGAACATGGTTTCACCCAGTTGTTTACTGTTCGTTTCTTTCATTCCAGTGTGGACAAAGGCATATCCAGAGAAGCTCGGGGTAGATGACACATAGTTCTTTCTCACTACTTCTGAAGAACAGGAAGAGCATCAGTGTAGGACACAAGTTAACACTTTAAATGAAATAAATGTTTGAGGTGGATCTGTAGAATGCTGGAGCCCAGACCTAGAATAAGGTCAGGAAATGATTTCTAACTAGGCATTTTTCACATATGTGAAATGCCCCAAACTCCTCCTTTATTTCCCTCTAACCTGCACATTCCAAGGGTTTGTTTCCCTCTTACCTGAATATTCCAAGGGTTTGAAATGATCAAATATAGTTGAGACACAGGTAGTTTTCTTTGATTTTTGTCTTCTCTTTTCTCCATTATTGTTATCACTCCTCTTGGATGCAACTCTCTTACAAAACTATATACCTTGAAAATGGAAAAGTCATTGAGGATCACTCAGTGCAGGTGCTTCTCTGCATAGGTGAAGAACGGAGTCAATACCAAGTCCTAGAGAGGGCTTCAGAGGACCTAGTATCAGCATGCTATGATAGTGTTTCCCAATCTCAGAGGGCAGTCAGTGATAAGTCATTCAGCGGGGTAGTGGGGTGGGGGGTGGTTCAGCTACCCCTTTTAATAAGGCCTGGATAAATTCAGGAGCTGTACCTACAATTCAGGGAGGCTATATTCTATAGCTAATGTGGGTTGTAAATTTTATTTAATTTTAATGTGACCAGGGTTATTATATTGAACATTTCTAGTCTAGTTGCAAATAAATAAGTATCAGCATGACTTGGATTTTGGCATCAGGTATCGAATTACTATGCAAAATTTACCATTTTAAGCCTCAGCTTTCTTCTCTATAATTGAATATAATAATATCTGCATCATAGCTTTGGTTAGAGGATAAATAGGATATTGCATGGTAAGACCTTAGAATAGTGTCACCCAGCTCACAGATATTCTTGTAGATATTTGTTATTATAAAAATTTGCTAAGCATATCTAGTTCTTCTTTAGGTTGAAGAACTCTTATAATACTTTTACCCATGTCCAGAAATTCAAATCAAATTCTGCCATGAGACAGAAGTTCCAGAAAACTGAATTCTACATGCGTGCTCCTTGCCTGTGAAATCAATATCATTTTGTATTAACCAATCAATAACACACTACAGTAATCAGTGTAATGTGCCTGGAAATTTTGTCATTGTGTTCCACATATTTCATATACTGCTATTTCTGAAACATTTTTTTTTTTGAGCTAGCAGGACATCAGTAATTCTAGTCAGATATACGTAGGAGGAGGGCCCGCTTGTTTGTCCCGGCTGCCCAGCTAGCTAAGCCCCGAAATAGCCACACAGAAACTGTATTAATTGAAATACTGCTTGGCCCATTAGCTTTATCTTTTTATTGGCTAACTCCTACATCTTTATTTAACCCATTTATATCAATCTGTATGTCACAATGAGGTCGTGGCCTATCAGAAAAGTTTCATCACGTCTACCTCTGGCCGCAGATCCATGGCTTCTCTCTGACTCTGCTTTCTTTCTCCCAGCATTCAGTTCTGTCTTCCCTGCCTACCTAAGTTCTGCCCTATCAAAAAACCAAGGCAGTTTCTTTATTCATTAACCAATGAAAGCAACACATAAACAGAAGGACCTTCTACACTAGATATAGATTCTTTAACTCAGGGAAAACTAGGAAAGCAGGTGTAGTTTTTACCTCCATTATGGATTTCAATACCAGGAGAAGTACATAAAAATTAACTTATCAAGAACTAAGGGAGCAATACACAGTGAAAAACCCTGGCAAGAACATATGGGAATATGTTTACTTAGGACCTCTTCCTTCATCTACATCTAGAGCCTCACTCTCAGATGTTCCTGTAAGAAGAAAATTTAATTAGTCAACCCTAAGCCTGCCCTTCCCCCATGGAAGATAAGGAGTATCATGGCTAGGATAGGGAGGGGCATTGCTTTCTTCAGTCTTCCTTCAAGAGGTTGAGGGAACATGGAGAGAACTTTCACCCTTCCTGAAGCAGATGCACAAACATTAAGAGAAGGTAATATGTAAGAGGTTCATAACCGTTCATAACAACATTCAGCATCCTCATAACCATTCAACAGATATTTATGGATGTCTGTCATATGCAAGTTGTTAATCTATGCACAAAATAGCTCCAACTCTATGAGATTCACTATTTAGGAAAACTGTAGGAAAATAGACAAAGTCACTTTAGTGTTTGAGAATGACAGACTTTGAGCCAAAGGAAGGTGAGCTACACAGTCTAAGAACAGAAACCTAGTGAAAGGGGCTCTGGGGAAAGCCCTATTGTAACCCAGAATGAGTTGGCTCACAGTTAAATGGAATACAAGTAGAAATTCTCTGCAAATGTGCAGAGGTAAAATAGAGCAAGATGTGGTCCGTTAACCTAAAGTGGCAAAAAAATTAGATGAATTGATAGATGGATTATAGATATTTAAATACATAGATAGAGACAGACATGCGTGGATGATTGGTAGATGGAAGGATAGATGCTGGATGGGTGTGTGGGTGGATGAACAGATAGACACTGTGTGGACATAGGCATGGGAAGGGAAGGAGAATTAAGAGGTGGAGAGGGAAAAAGGAGGAGAAAAAATGGAAGGAAGGGTAACATGAGAAGAGAAGAGGATAGGAGAGAAAAAATAACCTTTTAAGGGACATTACAGTTTACACAAGTCACAGAAACTGATTTCCTATCACAATTTTTAAGTCTGTGCCATCTAAAATGGATCAGTTATAGTCTAACTTCTAGAAATGATTAACATAACTGGGTCCTACAGAGGCAGCCAAAAGACACATTCCTGAAGAAAAGACCCATGGCCACCAGGGTAGATGTCCCACACAGAACTGACCTGAGTCTGGTATTTCTAAATCCAGATTCTCAGCTGTTCATTCTGTGCTCTGACCTGCTTTTCCAACCTTCAAGTCTTTCCTTTATTGCCAAATAAGCCCAAACTAGTCTCAGTAGCTTGAGTGCTTTAATTAGCACTTGGATAAAAGTGACCATTTCTTGCACATTTTTTTTTCATAAATTACCTCTATCTAGTTTTTAGAGGCTCTTCTCCCCGAGCTTCTTGTAATAGAATGAACACAAGTGAACATTTACTTGTTTGTTAGCACTGTTCATGACAAGATGTTTATCTATACTTTGTGAACCTGCTTCCTTATGGAACTTACATTACTTACAAAAAAATATTATCCTCCTCCTACAAAGTAACTTCCATACTTCAAAGGATCAAAGAGTATTCTTTTTTTAAAAAATTAAGTTCCTTCTACTAAGGAATAAATAAAAGATTACAATGGAAAGCATCACTATTCAGAGAATTCACATTTAAAATTATTTATTCTTTAACAAAAGACTTATTGAGAAGCTATTATACTGGTGCAAGGGCTATAATATATACAAATACCTATTTTGGAAGGATGCAAGCATCTAAATCCAGGAGCTAAAGAGCTAAACACAGTCACAATGCAATGATGCATGTTCCATGTGTTGTCGGGGTTTCTGTCCTGCCCTGTTCCCACAGTCGTTAAGTCCCAAAGAAATCACACAGACTACATTAATTATAAACTGGCCCATTAGCTTGGGCTTCTTATTAACTCTTAGAACCTATTTTAGCCCATTATTCTAGTATATGTTAGTCACATAGCTCAATACCTTTTTCAGCGAGGCAGTCACATCTTGCTTCTTCTGTGTCTGGGCTGGGACTGCCTCCTCTTCCCAAAATTCTCCTGTTTTCCTTGACCCATCTCTACTTCCTTTCTGGTTGTCCTACCTATACTTCCTGCCTGGCTACTGGCCAATCAACGTTTATTTAAAATAAAGTTGACAGAATACAGACCATAGTTCCACACCACTTCCCCCTCTTTAAAAAAATAATAAAAAATTAAAAAAACCCACAAGAACATCCATAGTCAAATTTTTGAGAATGTGGGCATAGTTTTCCAGGCTACTTCCTGCTGGTTGGGGGTGCTGACAATCTTATGGGGACCTGAAGAAAATTTAGGATTATGATCAATTCCTGACTGGAGTATCCTGTGAGGCTTAATCATCTCAGGCAGCATCTTGAATCTGTTCTAGATGTTTAACTATGTAAAGATGTGTAGCTTTGCCTATGTAACACATCAGAATGGTCTAATAAAAAGCTGAATATCCAATAGCTAGGCAGTAGAGGGATAGGTGGAGCTGGCAGGTAGAGGGAATAAGTAGGAGGATGAATCTAGGCTTAAGAGAAAAGAAAGAATGAGGGGAAAAAAGGGGAGATTTCCTGGGCCAGTCAGCCAGGCAGCTGCCAGACAGACAGACATGGAAGAAGCAGGAAAATTAGGACTTACCAATGAAAGAGAGGTTAAAAAAATAGTCACAGGGAAAAATGTAGATGAAGAGAAACAGGTTATGTAGTTGGAGGCTGTTTGTTCATTCCTGGCTTCCCAGAGTCGAAATAATCATACAGAAACTATTTTATTTGCAATTCTATTTGGTCAATAGCTTGAGCGTATTGCTAGCTAGCTCTTATATCCTAAACTAACCCATCTCCATTAAGCTGTTCATCACCATGAGGTCATGGTCTAACAGCAAAGTTTCAGCAGGCTTTGGTGGAGGCATCTGTCTCCAGTGGT